TCCGCAGCCCCAAGGCATTGCATGCCATTGGCTCGTGTTTAAATACTCGAAGAGGATTGGCTTTCTATGCGAAACCCCCCAATCTCCGTCACTTCTGACGTAACGTCTCCGTTCCCTACTCAGGGAACGAGGGTTACATACGTAACCGAGACGTTTTGATGAGAGAGAGAAAAAAAACTGTACCAAGGCCGGATTAGAACCCGTAACCTCTGGCACTCTGGGCAAAAGAGCTACCACTAGACCATTCAAACGGTCAAATGAAATCTGGCGGATCGATTTATTTATGTATGGGGTTGAAATAAAAGGCTGCACAGTTTGACAAGTTTGTACCCGCACTTCCGAACGTGTCTCTGTGCCCAGCAAATTTCAAACTGACGCCCGTGCTTAGGTGAATTTAGGGGGCGGCCGGGGGGGGGGCGGCCATTCGAGGGGGGGCCGGCCGCCCCTCCCGCCCCCCTGTTCCAACGTCTATGGACGCTTTCCTTTAGCGTCAGTTAGATGACGCCGTAGGATCGCGTCATCTAACTGACGCTTAAGGATAATTTTTTGTTGAATTAACAGACACAGATGTAGGACATTCTCCCAAATGGTCCACTTCATGTGCAATTTTTTTTTAGTTTTGGTTTTGAGGAGTTACTATAGCCACCGTTTGTGCATGGCACAAGCATCCCATTTGCCACCGCTATGTACCTCGATGCACACTTCTGGCGGGCCCAAACTGAGATGAGCATTGCAGCAGACTTATACCTGACAGTCAAAGTGGCATTGCATTATGAAAGTGTGGACTTGGAGGAAGACTGCAACGGCTTAGGTCAGTGATCTCAAACTCAATTCCTGGAGGGCCACAGCTCTGCACAGTTTAGCTCCAACCAGCTCCAACTCACATCTGTAAAGAAGTTTCTAGTAATCCTGAAGACCTTGATTTGCTCAATGGATCTGAATCAGATGTGTTTGATTAGGGTTAGAGTAAGTGGCCCAGAGCTGTGGCCCAATTGAGTTTGAGATCACTGGCTTAGGTCCTATCCCAAATGGCACTCTAATCTCTCGTTGTCTTCCTCCTAGTCCACATACTGTACGTAATTCCGCTTTGACTGTCGGGTTGAAGACAAGTAAAGGCCACAAAGAGGGCACTCATGAGTACTCTTTTGAAACTTAACATGACAAATAGGACACACTATAGCAGGGGTCTCCAACCCAGCTTCTGGACACATACCGTCCTGCAGTTTCAACCCCAACCAAAGACCCCTGAACCAGCTAATAACATTGTTCAGAGTAACTTGAAAATGGCAAGCGGGTGTGTTAGAGCAGGGTTGGGATTGAAGTCAGCTGGAAGGTAGATCTCCAGAAGTAGGGTTGGAGACCCTCTTGTGTACTTGATGGACACATGTATAGCCGCTTTCTGACCAAGTAGTTACAGGAACTTAGTTATAGGAACTGTCCACTTCTAAACAGTTCTAAGAACTACTCTCCCCCAAACTCGGTTTTGCTGCTTGCGTTCGCACTGGCCAAGTGGCTATAGGAACTGGTAGGACGCAAACACGGCGACGGTCTTTATAGCGTCATCACTAGACGTAGCGTTCTAGACGTGTTCCTGATTCCTGTTCTGCCTTGCCGGGACCTTAATAACGCAGAATATTTTTATGCTTGGCGGCGTTTAAAGATTATGCTTGAGTTCTGTACAGAGAAACACAGAAGACGAAGGCTCCAGCGTAATATGATATTAAGTAATATGATGGAAGAAGATAAAAGAGCAGAGCGCAGGAGGCAAACAAAACGACGGGTAAGTTTAGCTATTATTAGCAATCAGTTGGTTGAATGCGTTATGTTTGTCTTAATCCTCGTTGTAATGTACTGCAAAAACACACAGCGTATGGCAGACAGCGCGCTACAAGTTCCGTGTTGACAGTGGGCATGACTTATAAATTGAACCAATCAACGTAGACCTAGGGAAAGGGAACTAAAAAAGTCCTCGCTCTAGACTAGGTACTGAAAGAGTTATAGGAACTACGGTCTGAGGAACTAAAAAATCCCCAATTTAGTCCAGTCGGAACACAAGAAAAAAAGGGTTATAGGAATGTTAGGTTCTAGGAACTGCAAAAGTCCCTCTGGTCGGAAAGCGGCTAATGCGACAGTACTTGTGGTCTTGCTGACTTACAATGGTACTTGAAGTGTGCCTTTTGGGACAGGGTCTAGTTGGGCTTCATCCAGCATGTAGACAGGTTAACTCAGACTTCAAGTGTCCTTGGCATTGGCTGGGATTTTGTAGCCTACAAGTGACACACAATGTGTATTTTTTCCTTCAAATATTTGACTACTTAGACAAGAGTGTCAAATCTGAAGGGCCACTATTCCGCAGAGCTTAGCTTTAATCTTAATTAAACACCAGAACCAGCTGATCAAGGCTAGGAACATCCAAGCAGGTGTTTTGGGGCAGTTTGGAGCTTCTCTGCCATAGATTGCCTCCCCACTAACTGTATCTCTTCATTGAGTTCTCAGGGTTTGTTACTGCAACTCTAACTTATGTAACTGGACCACACACTTGCAATGCATTGGACTAAAATTCATGTCTGCACTCAGGGACAGTACTTGGGTGGTTTTGATTTTAGTGTGAGCCTGAAATGTGTAACTGGTGAGTCGCTTGTGATCTGTTGTCACCTTAGGAGTTCATAGATGAACTGGACAGTCATGTGCATGGACAAAGGGGCTCGACCCAGAATAAGCAGTACATTTACCTGGCTCAGGTGTACTGTTTGATGAAGGATTGGAAGTAGCACTGGGTAATGCCATTGGCATTGGCAATGAACTTGATTCTGGCAGTTCCTTGTTGCCATTTGAGGTACAACATGAGAGAAAGTGCAGTCTCCAAACGCAATTAGTCCTGCAATGTTGAAGATACTCTCAGGGAATGTAGCGGATACACGTGAAGAGGGAGTAGGGCTTGTACAGAAGGTCAGTTGAGGTCGCTGTGGACTGGAGTGTGAACTAGCATGTCTAAAAGCTTGAATTTCGAGCATGTCTGAAAGCATGAGATAGAGGGCATTAAGTCTCATTGAGAAAGTGGAGTTAAGGGAATCTGCTGATAAATTGGAGTCAATTCAAGCAGAGTAAACTGAAAACAGGTGGAGTAATGGTACATTCTTGTGAAGTTAGAAGCATTGGCAAAAGTTAATTTTTGACAAGCATCAAATGCTTAGAAATTAGCTCTAGTAAGTAAATTTGTATTACAATTCAAATTAAACAAAACCTCTGTTGACCTTTCTAAAGACCTTTACCTGACAAATTGCTTGATGTTACACATTGTTAAAGGGTTAGTTCACCCAAAAATGAAAATTAAGTCATTAATTACTCACCACCATGCTGTACCAACCCCGTAAGACCTTCGTTCATCTTCGGAACACAAATGAAGATATTTTTGATTAAATTTGAGAGGTGGGTCACTGCTACATAGGCTGCCTAAGGGATTGAAACTTGACGGCCCAGAAAGTCATTGAAGAAAATGATTAAATATTACATGTGACAACAGTGGCTCAAGTTTATCAAGCGACGAGACTACTTTTTGTGCAAAAAAACAAACAAAAATAACGACTTTATTCGACTATTCCTCTTCTTCCTTGTAGGCCTGAGATTTCCACGACGCGTGCGGTTCAGTTCTCGCGCATGAGTCGTGGAAATCTCTTGAAAAGTAGATCTCTTGTATAAAAATCTCACAAAAAGTATTCTCGTCACTTGATAAACTTATAATTGAGCCACTGTAGTCACATGGAATATTTAAACATTTTCTTCATTAACTTTCTGGGCCGTCAAGTTTCAATCCCTTAGGCAGCCTATGTAGCAGTGATCCACCTCTCAAATTTAATCCAAAATATCTTCATTTGTGTTACGAAGACGAACGAAGGTCTTACGGGGTTGGTACAGCATGAGGGTGAGTAATTAAAGACTTAATTTTCATTTTTGAGTTGATCTGAATAATTGCAACTTAACAATAAATAATTGTAAATGTCACACAAATAGTGCAAAATACAGTTTTATGGCAGGTACATTTTAATCGGCAGGTAAAGAGCTAAACGTGGTCCCTGGTAGGAGGGAGGAAGAACATAAGACAAACAGTAAGATAATGAGACTGTAGTGTGTTGTAAACAGAAGCTTGAGTGTTGAAGGACGTGAGATGATGTAAGCTTAAAGTTTCAGTATGAATGTTGAAATTACCAAGGTTATGTTGTTTTTTTTTGTTTTTTTGTAGTTCTCCTTTTTTTCAAAACTTTGTCAGAAATTAAAGAATGGAGTTCCACAGCATTTCCTGTTTAACGAAAATGAACCCTGCACCATGGTTCATGGTTTAGGGCCTATCTGGATTTTACAATATCCGTTAATTTAGGGGCAGTTTACCAAACACCGTTTAACAAAATACTGAAAACTTTTAATACTTAACGTTTGGCTGTTAATTTACACAACAACAGCATTTTGGGGGCCTGAAACCGCAAATTTTAAAAAACGGGATTTAAAGTGCAAGTTTTTGAAAATTAATCTGTTATCATCTTCGTGTAGAGTACAAAAACTTTCTTTACAAAGTGACATCGCCATCTACTGGTCTGCATTAATAATATAGTGTTTTTGTTCGTTTTCGCGGATATTACAATGTTGTCATTTGTATGACAAAGCTAGCTTTTTATAATAAACAGGGTAATTTATTTTAAATACAACCAAGGAATTAAATTAGGCAAATGTATCATATAAACATTTAACTAAAAAAAAAAAAAAAAAAAAAAAAAAAAAAAAATCAGAAACCAAAGGTTTCTCATAATATTAAAAAAAAAAATAATAATTTAAAAAAAAATTGTTAAATGTCGGAATTAAAGGGTCAAAGGTGACTTTTCTTTTTTAGCTGGTTTAAATATTTAAAATGACAGAATGGTCTAACTGAGCACCAAAGAAAATTACAGCAATATATTGCTATATTGAAACATTCTTCAGAACATAAACACATAAAATGAAGTATAAGAAAGCATTTCTCAAAATGTAGCTTTTATTGAACAAGCAAAGCAGCATATTTACACAAATGTATCTGCATCGTACAAATGTTTCGTCGGTTTTAGGCATCCATCCCAGTCACTTGCTAGCAATCCTAAAGTGCATTTCACAAGGCCAAATCTTGTTCTTTTTATATTTTATATATATATATATATATATGTAACTTCACATTCTAGGCATTATTCATTTTACAATTAAGTGGTTAAATGCAAGTTACTGTTCTAAAAAAAGTGTTTGATTCCTTCTGCTATTAGATACTTGATTAGAACTGATTTTATTTTGCATCAGTTTCAAACTGCTGTTTATAACTGATCAATGGAATTGCGTAGTGCATAGTGAACATAACACAAACAGGATTATGAATGTAGTAACACAATCTGTGCGCTGAGAACTAAAATTCAGCTTACACGCAAAAACATCTGTACCACCAATGGTGATAGAAAATATCTGGTTCAGCGGAAACGGATTCAAAATAATCATCAAATCAAACATTATTGTTTAAAAGTAGCGTTTACAAGTTAAACGCATGTTTAACACTGCTTTGGTGTGCATGCATTAGTCAACACCGTAGCATATTAGTCATACAGATTTCATTCCCGCCACTGCTGAGCCTAGAGTTAGGCCAAATAGTTAGCATCGATTCACAGCGGTATGACCTGATGTTGCTTCATACAGTGTTAGCACTACAAATGTGCTCAGAATACACTCTAACATAGAGCACGGACACAGTAACCATGAGTGCAGCAAGCCACACCACTAAACTGTCAAAGTCAATGCACAAGGGTAGAAAAACGACAGGGGTACGTAAATGTACCCCTTAAGAACTGTATAAAAGCCCCACTCGAGATGCCACTGCAACATATTTTTGCTTGGTGGTAACACGAACAGGGGGAATGCTGGCTGAAATGAATTTAAATGAGAAATGAGATGAAGACCCCCCCAGCTAGAGCTTCTGCAGATGCCATAAAGGTCAGCCATACAAGTGCACTTGTAGTACAGCGAAGAACAGTCACATACCTGCACGAGTTCAGGATCCTTCGACTTTTCTTTTTTTTTTAAGGCTTGACCAAGAGCGATCAAAACTAGTCAGATTTGGCAGAGTGTCAAACTTTGGGATTAAGGAAGATGTGAAGAATGGAAAAATACAGGAATACTGTAATCTGTGGAAATAATGCAAAATCAAACAGTCCAAACTGGTTCTGCCTAAAAAAAAAAAAAAGACAGTTCTTGTGAAAAGTTCATCTAAAAATGTAAGTTCTGTCATCATTCACTCACCCTCGACTCAATGTTTTACTCAATGTAATCCCAGCCAGTATGCAGTTCTTATTTACATGAAACACAACAAATATTTCATTTTCAGCAAATAATGTTTAAAGGGATAGTTCACCCAAAAATAAATTCTGTCATCATCTACACTCGCCCTCATGTCAATCCAAACCTTTATGACTTCCCTTCCTCTTTGGATTACAAAAGTACAATGCAAGTCAATGGCATATTCCTTGGACGCCACTGACTTTCATTGTATGGGCAAAAACAGAATATCGTCTGTCATAGGTCACACAGCTTTGGAATAGTTTTCCTTTTTGGGTGAACCATCCCTCAAGTTGAAAGGATCCCAATTCCATGGCATGTTTCTATATAGTCACTACATGGAAAAGACAAACATGAAGCTTCTTCAAAAGTTCTCCGTTTGTGTTTCATGGAGAAAACAACAGCATACTAGTTTAGAGTAACATGGGGTTGAGAAAATGACGAAAACAATCACTTGGTGAACGGAGAAATCAACAGTCTGGGAATATCTATTCCCTTTAGAAAGTAGCTTCTTAGAGCGAAAACAAAAGTTTGATGTAGAGCTGTCACTTTGGCTGAAAAGAGAACAGTGGAATAGTGTCTTCTTTCCAACATCTGGAGATGATAGTGGACGTTGGCGATGTGCATAGGGGGCTTCTGGGGTGAGAAGATCAGGAGAGAAGGAGAACTCCCCTGATGGGGGCTTTCGCTAGGAGTTTTGCAGGAGGCGTCTATAATGGGGCATGACCTCGTGCTCTGGGAGATGCAGGTTAAACTCTAGGGCCACCAGAACGGGGAACTCGAAGGCGATCAGCTCTCGACGGTTCACCCTAAACCTCTCCTCCAGTTTCTAGGTGGAAAGAGATCATGGGTTCTTGTTATGTAATGGCAATCGTTACGCAACATGGAAACATCCAAAAATGCTCAGTAACCAGATTTAACCATCTGGTTATCTTTATTTGTGTATCCATTATTTATCTTTGGGGTATCCAGGGACCTCAGACAGTAACATTGCATTTTTTAACAGATTAATAGTTTTTTTTGTTGTTTTTTTTTACAAATGTATTTTTACTTTGTTTATTAATGTTTTTACACAACATTTGTGCCGTTTTTTGAGGATTTATGATATCTTTTACATTTCTATAAATAAATAAATAAATATTTATTTAATTAGGTTTTTTTTTTTATGTTATATTACATATTTAGAAAAAAAAAAAAACAGTTAGCCTCTGTAATTTTATAGCCTCACTAATGTATGCCTGTGTGTGTGTGTGTGTGTGTGTGTGTGTGTGTGTGTGTGTGTGTGTGTGTGTGTGTGTGCGCATTACATTTCAATGCGTCAGTGTCACCAATTTAGTTTTGTGGTGGTTCTGCATTTCGGATGATTTTATTTTACAAATGATAAGGGAAGTTTTTATAGTTCCAAAAATGTATTCCTCTATGTGTGCGCGTGTGTGGCGAGCATAATAATTTTGCATTATGGATGTTTTTTCCATTGTTGGAAGTGTGTCACTTTATATCTGTCTATGCTTGTTTCTGATTTTTATGATGAATTTTGTCTTTTTTTTTTTTTACAATTGTATTTTTACTTTGTTTATTAATGTTTTTACTCAACATTTGTGCAGTTTTTGGAGGATTTATGATATCTTTTAAATTTATATAAATAAATAAATATTTATTTAATTAGGCTTTTTTTTTTCCAAAAAAAAAAAAGAAGCATTTTATGTAAAATACACTTTGTAAAAGACCCAGAATTCTAACTTTCATTCATGGGGATAACATGGATAATTTTACATCGTTTAATGTAAGATTTTTGCCCATATTTTGGAAAATGTAGTTAAAAAAAATCAATTTAACCACTACATGGCCATAGAGCTCCATTATATTTGCTATTTATTAACGAAATATATCTTTTGACCAGTTGAATTCAGTTGGAATCATATTAAATAATATATAATCACAATTAAAATAAAAAATATATTATTTTGTCAAATGTAGCATTTTTTGTACTGAAAAAAGTTTTTCAATAATGTTACATTATGATTAGAATCAAATCTGAACAAGATGTTACAAAGAGAAATTTTAAATCAACGTTTCAGTTACGAACTGTAAAAGAACAAAAATGTATGTTATATTACATATTTAGAAAAAAAAAAAAAACAGTTAGCCTCTGTAATTTTATAGCCTCACTAATGTATGCCTGTGTGTGTGTGTGTGTGTGTGTGTGTGTGTGTGTGTGTGTGTGTGTGTGTGTGTGCGCATTTCAATGCGTCAGTGTCACCAATTTATTTTTGTGGTGGTTCTGCATTTCGAATGATTTTATTTTACAAATGATAAGGGAAGTTTTTATAGTCTCAAAAATGTATTCCTCTATGTGTGCGTGTGTGTGGTGAGCATAATCATTTTGGATGTTTTTTCCATTATTGGAAGTGTGTCACTTTATATCTGTCTATGCTTGTTTCTGATTTGTATGATGAATTTTGTATTTTTACTATGCGGGGTCTCAAGGGACCCGAAGACAACTAATGTCACTTTTTTGTCACTCTAACATAACATATTCCAATTTTTTTTTTTTTTTTGTAGTTCTAGAAAGTGTTGAGAGCTGTAGAAAGTTTCATACCATTTGGACTAAGAGAACATTTTAAAAAAATTCAGCAAAAGTCATTTGCGGGTTAAAAAGACCCCGAGGACAACCAGAGGGTTAAAGAATGCTCATTTGTCAATTTTTTAATCCCAAAGGCCCCATTAATAACCATGTCTGTTATAAGAGACAAACGAGGAATGTTGAGTAAACGACATCTGTCAAGTAGCTGTAGTTGTCAAGTAATGAGCTAAAAGAGTCACTGGGCAAAAATAAACTCACATCGATCAGGTGTTTGACTTCGTGTTTCTTTAGGTCTCCTCCGATCTTGGCCGCGAGCAGGACGCAGGCACCGGCGCAGAGTTTGCGGTTCTGTTTGTGGAGTTTCCCTTGGAGCACCAGCTTCTCGAAATAAACGAAGGCCATGGCCACCGTGGACTCCTCGTAGCCGCACTCCTGAGCCAGTTTACGGATCTCGCGCTTCAGGCTAGAACACAGAACATAAGGCCACATACTCATCTGTACTCAAGTTACTCATGATGTTATGTGAGATTGGAAATACTTTTACAATACTTTAGAAAGGCTCTTCTCTAGTTCCTGTACAAAATAACAGGGACTGAAACCCTAGATATCTCCCAAATCAGGGGTCTTCAACCCTGCTCCACATCCCTGCAGAGTTTAGCTTCAACTAGGGGTGTGCAATAGTGTCAAATGACGATGATAAGAGTAACAGTGTGTTATTGTGCTGGTATCTTGGCAGGTGTGTTAAAGTTTGTTATTCTTCATGTTCTAACCACGTGGAAAATACTATTTCTTTTCTACATTTCAAAGTATATAGGCTCCTGGGCAAATGTTTGATTAAGAATGTGGAAATATAAAATATGAATGAAATATAAAACACTTGAAAAACAAATTATTACAGGCCCAACATAAAATATTGCTATATTATATATAACAACATTATGTTATCGTTCTGTAAAATATTTGAATTTGGCAGTCAAGCAATCACGAATTCAAATAGTACATAGTGTGATATTGACGCAAAGCCTATTGAAACGTGTGTGAGAAGTGCGATATAAGCTCAGCTCATAGATATATACACTAGAGACGCCTTGGCTACGGCAGTTCATTCGAACGAATGTGTCAATAGAGCCGCCATCTTGGAACAGGTATTAATTTTAAAAATACTAATATACAGGATTATGATATATATTGCACACAAGAGACTGAAAAACACCTGATCCAGCTAATAAAGACCTCCAGGCTCATTTGAAAACTACAGATGTGTGTGTTGGAGCAGGACTGGGACTAAACTCTGCTTGACACTTGAGTTTGACACCCCTGATTTAATTTCAACTGTAATTAGACACCTGAAGGAGGTAATCATGATCTTCAGGGTGACTTTAAAACACACAGGCAGGTGAGATAAAGCAGGTTGGAAATAAACTTTGCAGGACATTAGGTCCCCAGAAGCAGAATTGAAGACCTCTGCCCCGATTCATGCTACACTTTCAGCTTAGCGGACCATCAGAAACAAAGAGATGTTTTATAAAACAACAACCTGCTTTGTTAAATTTTTTCTTGCAGCAGTTTTTAGACTTTGTGCATTCACGCTTGCAACGCGTGCACAATGATTTAGCCATTGGGTTGGTTTACTTCCAACCTTTCCTGAACTCTGAAAAGAATTAAGACCTGTGTTGAGGATTAAATCTTGATTGCATAACTGAATTATTTCATTTCCTCACTGCTTTCTAAGGATTATCAATGTAATGTTATATTCTACACCAAAGCACTGCTAAGATATTTTTTAAATGCTAGCTGTCATAAAAACGAGAAAATGTCAAAATAATTAAATCATTAAAATCCAAGTTTTTCCAAACATTAAATTGTGCAGTAAGGGATTTCTTAAATAAATCAAGGTTTGGTTGTTTCTCTATACGCGAGTAACATTAGTTTTGAGTGTGTGCTGCTTGTGACTAACAACAAACTCTTAAAAGCTTATATACTTTTTTTTTTTGTTCTTCTTTGTCGGCCATTTAGCATTTTCACTTTGTTTTTCGAAGCTTTTCTTTTGCTTCACTTCTGCTAAAAAAAATAGCAGTCTTGCATTGCATCCACTTTTGTATTCTGGGGGTGGAGCAATGAAAGGAGGGGCGTGTTTTTTTAAATATCAAGTGTTTCTCAGAAATCGCTTACTGCACCTTTAATTTTGTTTAAATATTGTAATGAGGACTACAAATAAAATATTGACTTCCCTTACACCCCATTAAAGAACAAACAACATTTGAAAGCTAAGAAAGCATAAGACAAACTCAAAAAAAGGCCTAAAACCATGTTTCATAATTGGCTCTTTGTGCCTCCAGCTGAAAATGATAGAGTACATTTCATATTATTAACTCATTAAAATTTTTCTTTTTATTTCTTGGCTGTAGTAATGGGAAATATAATTCGTTTCTGGAAACTAGTTCTTTTCATACGAAATGCAAAGAAATGTAAAAAATAAATACAGTTTATATATATATTTACAAACAAAGAAATGTAAATAAAATACAGTAGCCTTTATACTTATGTATAATTTACTGGTAACAGCCCTAGTCCCTTATTAGTCTAATTGAATTTCTTGATTAAATTTAAGAATTTGACATGTGATGACGAATCATTTAACAAGGTTAGAAAAAAAAATTGCCCCTGGAAATAAATTAAATGGGGGAAATATGTATTTATTTCCAGGGCCAATTTTTTCTACAATGTATGGCGTGAGATGTGTGTTTCACTAGCTGTGTTGTCATGAGCACCTTTAGTTTAATTCAATCCTGAATAATTACAATTGATGATTTAGCCTAAGACGTGTGATTAATCAGTATCTATGAGCAGCATCTGTGAAATACATTTATATTTTAAGCATTTGAATTGTCACATTGTGCTTGCAAAATTAGGAAACACGAATGTGACCTGAATTTGCAGTCACTTTTACAAAGAACTGTAAAAAAATAAAATAAAAAGTACAAATAAATCAATGTAGACAGAAATACACAGAAATAAAATAAATGTGGAAAAATACTATTATACATAAAAGAATATATAAATTTTTTGTATTTATTTTAGGTCTAGCCATCGAGATTAATCGCATCCAAAATAAAAGTTTGTGTTTACATAATATATGTGTGTGTAATTATTTTGTATATAAAAAATGCACACATGTGAATGTATATATTTAAGAAAAATGTGTTAACATATAAAATATTAATATTTATATTTAATATAAATTATGCATAAAATATATACAGTATATACATGCAAATATTTCTTACATCTATACATGAATGTGTGTGTATTTATATATACAAAATAATTATACACACCACACACAAATATATTATGTAAACACAAACCTTCATTTTAGATTGCCCAGCCCTAATTTATTTATTATTTTGGCAGAAATGGCATTCCATATTTTTAATTAACTAGTTAATGTAATTGGTTCCTGATGTTATGCAATGGTGACACTATACATTTCTTTTCTCAGTGTCAACTTATATCAATAAAACATTCGAGGCAAATTGCTGATTATTGCTTTTGACCACAAACACCATCAACTTAGGTGAATGACAGTGTCGTCCGCTGATCTTTTGTGTCTGACCAATATTAGTTGCCTACATCTTGATATATTTATGTTAGTATAATTGTCCAACAGGTGAAAGTAACAGCTCAGTTCTCACGTCATTACCAAATTGTAAAACTTGCCTTGAAAGGTTCAGCATGTACATCAGGCTGCTTTACGACTCGATACCTTCGATAATTCGACAGCTTCCTTACCTTCTGATCTTGCTCAGCGTTAGACGGATGTGAGGGAACTTCTCCTTAAAAGTCTCGTTCATGTCCTTCTTGAGATCGGAGGGTTTGACGTACTCAATGACTGTGGTCTGTAAAGAAGTGTGGACATTCATTGAGACTTGCGGTCAAAGACACATGTGGGAACACACATCACATGGGTGAAAGAGACCGTTTCCGCCCGGTCATTGAAACATTTGCCCAGTTTCAAAGCATCTGGTCTGGTTTTGTTCTATAAACAGTTTGCAGATTTAAGATTAGGGGTTTTCCTCCTGGAGTTACACTTTAATGCCTATTATAATCTTAACACCCATACTTTAGTGAATGTTTATTGTTGTATACACTTATGAGATGTTGATAATGTAAATGTCCATGGTTAAATACTCTGTTTATACATTCTTGCTGCAAACTTTCCTTCATAGAACACAATAGCGATTGTTACGAGGCATTGAATAACCAATAGAAGGAAGGGAAAGGCTGTCTCCTGTCTACTATACAATGCAAAAACACAAACAGAGCTGAATAGGAAATGAACTTCTGTTACGTAAACCTGGTAAAAATCACTTTTAACCGCTAGCTGCTATTTGAAAAAAAAAAAAAAAAAATATGAAGACAAGCAAAGGAATTGCCTGCAGTGAAGCTGGTGTCCATATTATTCATATTCATATCCAGTGTTTGGAAGAAAAAAACTATTTTTCCAAGGTCATCAGTCTGGAATTTCTGCTAAACAAAGTTACTAATTAACTACCAACTAAGGATTCAAGTTCACACTGTAAATGTGGCCGTGAACGTAACCAATAAAAGTGACACTAGTAGCATAGTAAGTACTTCATATGAAAGAAAAATCACAAATGGCATTTATATCTGAGATGTTTCTCATAGAGTTAACAGATTGAGATTTTTTGCTTCTCACTTTTTTTCTTCAGAAAAATCTCCTATTTCAGAAGAGATTTTTAGAAGAGATCTCAGCCATCTCAAACTGAGCTCAGATCTGTTCAGATCAAACATCAGCCATCCTAATATGAACTTCAATATTTCAAATATTTCTGATCTTTCTATACTCTTAATGTATATCAAAAGTTATTTCTTTTTTCACTTATTGTGAATTATTTTTTTTAACATGTTAACTTAATATTTATTAATTTTATTTATTAAAACCATTTATATTAGGGCTGTGCAAAAGTTAATTGCGATTAATCGCATCCAAAATAAAAGTCTGTGTTTACATAATATATTTGTGTGTACTGCTGTATATAATTATTTTGTATACATAAATACCTATGCATGCATGTATATATTTAAGAATTATTTGTGCTTAAATTCTGTTTATATATATAAATACATAATCTATATTATATAAATATAAATATTTTATATATGAATAACACATTTTCTTAAATATATACATGCATGTGTGTGTATTTATATATACAAAATAATTATATACAGCACACACAAATATATAATGTTAACACAGACTTTTATTTTGGATGCGATTAATCGCAATTAATTTTTGCACAGCCCTAATTTATATTAATAATATATTGTTATATAATAATAATTATATGTAAAAAAAAAAGGACATCCTGACAATTCAATGCACAGCAATTTTTTTCCTGATAATATTTTAATAATTAATCACACAGCCAATTATTTAATTTTGGAAACTATTAAATGTTTTTTTTTTTTTCTGCATAATGGCTTGTTATTTCCCCCGCAAAACTGAATAATAATGTCTTTTTACATTAAAAAAAAGCTTTTTATTATATAGATTATCATATGTATATTATTTTTATTTTAGGAAAGAGAATCATGCTGTAAAATCGATCAATTATCACTATTAATTGCACCTAAGAAAGTTTTTTATATTGCAATAATTTCTGCATTAATAATTTAAACCCTTTAAACAATCTACAGATAAACCCATTATAATAAATCTCACATTTATCTTGACCTTCGGTATATCAGGGCTCAAATTTTCTTTTATCAGACCAGCTCAGATTTTTACTTGCCTGGTGAAAATGCACAAAAAGATATTGTTTTCGTTGTTTTTGACACATGTAACCTTGTAAACAGCACTTCAAGATGCTCAGGTAGGTTTAACAGGTAGGATATATACAAAAATTTAAAAAAAAATTATCAAACACTTCAGTCTTCACTGCATAAATTATAAATTAAATATAGATTAAACGCTACAGAATTTATTCAGTCAAGAGCAGTGAGTGCGTTTTATCTTCTTTTTTTTTTTGGTTCTTCTTTGATTATCCTTAAAAGAATAAAAAATGCATACAGGTTTGAATCAACTTGAGGGTAAGTATGACCAAATTTAAATTTAGAAAACTAGTCCTTTAATGAGAGATATACAGCAGTAGGTTTATTAGGCTTCTGTCACTTTAAAGGGTTAGTTCACCCAAAAATGAAAATTCTGTCAGTATTTACTCACCCTCATGTTGTTCCAACCCCGTAAGACCTTCGTTCATCTTCGGAACACAAATTAAGATATTTAAGATATTAAGATCGCTCCTGCATACAGTCCATAGGCTTCTTGAGGGACTGGCTCTTGCTGTCCTCGAAAAGTCATTAAAGACATCGTTAAAATAGTCCAAGTGACTACAGGGGCTCAATCTTAAGTTTATCAAACGACGAGAACACTTTTGTGCGCAAAAAAACAACAAAAATAACGACTTTATTTCAACTATTCACTTCCTTCTCCATGAGCCTGTAAGTCAGTTAACGTAGTGTGATTGCGTAGAGCTACGTCACACGTAGGCTCACTATTGGCCGACGCTGGACATGTGTTATGTGTGTGTGATGCGTGTGACGTACAATAACAGAAGCTTGCGCTATTAAACTAGTAACCTGACTCGCGCAGAGGGAGAAATAAACGAATAGTTGAAATAAAGTCGTTATTTTTGTTGTTTTTTTGCGCACAAAAGTGTTCTCGTCGTTTGATAAACTTAAGATTGAGCCACTGTAGTCACTTGGACTATTTTAACGATGTCTTTAATGACTTTTCGAGGACAGCAAGAGCCAGTCCCTCAAGAAGCCTATGGACTAGTATGCAGGAGTGATCTTAATGTCTTAAATATCTTAATTTGTGTTCCGAAGATGAACGAAGGTCTTACGGGGTTGGAACAACATGAGGGTGAAGTAAATACTGACAGAATTTTCATTTTTGGGTGAACTAACCCTTTAAGACCGGATCTGACACGCATCCCATTTTCTCAACTCTTAACTTCATTTAACTCATTTAAGACTGTGCTTGCGAGGATACTTTTGTGTGTTTTTGTTCAAGCACTGTCTGAAGTGGCTTTCTGCGCACTCGAGTGTGTGTGTCACAAACAGGAGATTCACAAACGAGCACCAGTACCGCAATGCATTACCTTTCGTGTATTGATTTAAAAACTTAATTTGTCTCGTCTTGAAATATTACAAATCATTTGCATAAATAAGAGTGTGATCATATAATGTAACACTAGCCAAAGGAAAACGGAAAAAAAAAACGAATGATGAAATACTTTTAATGCGTTAAACTGAAAAATGAACTAATCTTGCATTGACGCATTCATTTTGACGGCACTAACGAATGCGATTTATTAATTAACACAATTAAAGGGGTTAGTTCAGGATTTTGGACATCGGGCCTCATTTCCAAGTTAGCCTTAGTGTTCTTTATCAGTGGAGACAGTTTTCAAAAATGTTCATCCAGTCGTTCCAGTTGCATAGTTCGCCGGTGCTAGGCTAGTGCGAGTCAATGGTAACTGCTAGCCTGCCATTATGAACAGTTTTACCCAATTTTACAGATTTCTAACATTATTCTCTCAACAGACATTTACATCGATAGTCTGGCATTATAATTGATTTGATTTTGGTGTACTGTGGAGTGGGTGAAACTGTTTTTAATGGCAGGCTAGCAGTTACCATTGACTCGCGCTAGCCTAGCACCGGCGAACTATGCAACTGGAACTGGACTTTTTGAATACTGTCTCCACTGATAAATAACACTAAGGCTAACTTGTAAATGTGGCCTGATGTCCAAAATCCTGAACCACTCCTTTAACACAGCATGTGTTTTTTTTTGTCTACAAAACAGCACTTTTCCACTAAATGCACACAGACTTGGAAAAAAAAAAATCACATATGAACCGTTCAACTTTTGCATTGCATGACATAACTCACCATGTACGAGGGAAAGATAAGCACTCTTTTGTGCTTTCCACATGGCCATTGCGGGTCATCCAGAAGATTTGGGTCATAGTCCCTAAAATCTCCCAGTTCATTCCCTATGAGAAAAGACAGGGAAATAAACAGACTATACATATGCTGAGATTGCTTAAAGGGTTAGTTCACCCAACAATGAAAATTCTGTCAGTATTTACTCACCCTCAAGTTGTTCCAAACCTCCATGTGTTTATTTGTTCTGCTGAACACAAAGGAAGATATTTGGAAGAATGTTTTAATCAAACAGATCTCATTCCCCATTGACTACCATAGTAATGGTAGTCAATGGGGAATGAGATCTGTTGTTGATTAAAACATTCTTCCAAATATCGTCCTTTGTGTTCAGCAGAACAAATAAACACATAGAGGTTTGGAACAACTTGAGGGTGAGTAAATACTGACCGAATTCTCATTGTTGGGTGAACTAACCCTTTAATAGTCTAAACAAAAACACAACTTAGTTATGTAGCCAGTACATTTAGAACAGCAACATTTCTGATACAAGCGCATGAACAGAGGACGTCTATTTTGGTAGGGCACTCAAAAAATGTTTTAATCAAAAAGTTCCATGACCTTGCTCCAAAAAAGAAATAACATTATTAAACTATAAGGTCTTACCAAAATGCTCATTAAAGTGAACAAGCAGCCTCTTGTCAGGACGTATTAGGGAGCTTGAGGGAAAATGAAAGAGCCATGACAAGCTGTTGGCACACACACCTGTATCGAGGCTACTCTGGTTACTGTTGGCACGTGCCAGGCTGAGGCTGCGGTGGCTGGCATTGCGAGACTGAGAGAAAGACGACGTGGAGTCGATGGTGTTTCGACGACCCAGGACATTGGTTGGATACAGGAACTGTGTGTATGACACTGTCTGCCAAGAGATTTACAGCATCATTAACCTTAATGAACATGATCAAAGATTAAGAATGTATACTAGCCACAATAGAGGCCATAAAATGAATTTACAAGGAGAAGGAAGATAAAAACAGTGTTCCTTCAACCACATTACCTTACCTTTTATTTAAAGATTTGGATAATCTATGTAACTCTTGGCCCTCTAGAGGTTAAATAACAAAACTACATGCATTTTGTGGAAGAACATTGTTTTGGTTGTGCTTCGGCTCTGCGGATGAATACGGTTATCATACTACTCATAAAACATATTCACTACTAGGCTAAAGAGATGTAACCAGTTTAGATTGAAAGGATCTCAAGTTGAAGACATAACTGTAGCTATACACATTAATAGACACGACACTTCCTTGATAAACAACCATAATGAAATGACCCCATAATGTTTACAATGAACTCTACACATGGCAATTTATCTGTTGAGTAATAAAACACCATCTCTGCTTTCACAACATTTTAAATCACTCAGTTCTCACCATTTCCGTAAAAGCTAAAGCAATGTTGATTCTTGTTTTATTACGAGCTCTGTCATGTTCTCTTTTTGCCAGCAGACAAGGGCTGGCTGATAAAACGATACCGATAATTATCGCGATATAATAAAAACGATATCAAGAGGTCGATAATGTTTATGCGCCAAAAGCAGAGAAAATGATTTGAACCGCGAAAATAATTTGAACCGCGTACGCCACACAGAGCATTTATCCGCTCGGCTCAAAGTCCAAATGGCAGCGCACTGAGCGCAGCGGCAGCGCGAGCTCACGCAGACACGCTTACTCTGATCGTCTCGCTCACGAGATCCAGTGAGAAGCGCTTGAGTTCAGCGAAGAACACAAATGTCAAGTTTAAACCAGTTTTAAGATAGATGAAACACCGCTGTCAAAAAGGAGAAACACTGCGTGCAACGATACAGTCAGAATCTGAATTGATCCTGAATCCATTTAGCCTACCATGGATTTACTAGTAATATTAACTGCACCGTGAAATGTGGAATATACATATTGAATTGTATAATATTATTAATGTAGACAATGTATTAAATGACTAATGGAATATAAGTACAGTATTTAATCATGTATTTAACTGTTAGGCTACTGTTTTTCATACAAATACCACAGAAACCATAAAGTTATGCCATGATGGTGAGGTGCTAAGTTATAGGCTTTACCAGGTTTTATCTGTGGTTATGATCTAAATGGATGAGACTGGATGACCAATGGTTAATTTTAATAAAACTCAAACAGTCAGAATATTACTTTTTACCAAATAAAAATGTGGTCGTTAGATAAAAAAAAAAAAAAAAAAAAACAGACGTTACTGTTTTTGTTAATGAACATAAATTTAAAGAGTAGTTTAAAAACACAATTAACACACTGGCTTATACAACTTTCACTTAGGAGCAAAAATCTGCCTTTAAACTTGAAAGAAATAAAGATTTGACATATATCGTGATAATTATCGATATCGACTGATATAAAAAAAAAATTATTGTGATAATTCTTTTTGGCTATATCACCCAGCCCTAAAAACATGTGATTGCCAGAAGATTCAATATTTAGCCTTTCTCATTCTGACAATTAGCCAATATTTCACTCTCATGCCAAACACACGTCAAAGTAGCAACTTTTCTCTATTTACGGATATGAAGAGACACATACGGTGTACACAATTTCGTGCGAAAACCATCCCGACAAGTCTAAAATATACACACTATTAATAGGCTTACCGTAGTGGATCAGGGTAAGAAAAAAAAAATCATATTTTGTACACTAACCTTGCCATCTGCACCCAATTCAACCCCCTCCAGGCCGATCACCATCTCCTTGGCACTGATGCCACCCGAGGGGTGCCGCTGGCGCCCGCTTTCTGCCTTCACATCCCTGCAGGGCAAGAGAACAGCTCAGAGCGCCTTGTGCACACACATCAGTCTGTTCTGGCAAACCTGATACTACATCTGCCACAATAACCTGCACCGCTGGGTTATTTTTATTAAATGTTGGCTTTAAGAAGATGAAAGAAACCAATATAATACAAGTGTTGTATTTAAACCAACACTTGAACAGTGTTTATTCTATTAGCATTTTATACACTTATCCACTTAAATGTTATTATAAAACTGAATTAAATGAATCATATAATCAAAGAGTGGCACGGCAATAAAACAAATCAAGTAAAATGAATTGCATTGCATTATTGTTTCATGGCCAAAGGATCAAGGTGAATGGATGAGTGGATAATATATATTTATAAATATATCAATATTTAGTTTGTCAGGGTCCAGGTCTAATAAAAAAAGTATTATTATCATTAGCCATTGACATGACAGGGATAAATTGGGATACTTTTTTGTTTTTGCAAAGCAGGAATATAAGCTGTTGTTTTAAGATGATCACAGCTGTGATCGATTCAGGATATTATCATTAACCAAAACCATAAATAAAATCATTACTTGAAATAAAACAATTCAACTTATTATTTTATTTCCGAGGCAAAATTTCTCATAAAAAACGATAGACTTTTTTAAAAACATGACAAAATTACTAAAACTTTAACTATTTAAATAAAATCTAATTCAAACATTAACAAACACTACAATATAATAAATGCTGGAGGGTTCATTCAAACTCTTTAGTACCTTTAAATAGCTAAAGGCCTTCAAGGAAGAAAAAAAACAACCGAGTGTCTAGAAAACTGTTAATAGCACCAGAAAACACAGTTATAGACTGTCACTTTGATAAGGCTTACTTATAGAAATAAATTCTACTAACATCATGACTTTGTTTGGCAAACACTAGAAGATTTGATTATTATCTGACATGTGATATGAAGCAGAAACACTACATTATCTAGCGCATCTGCAAATAATAAAGCATAACTAAACTCACGAGACAGACCAACTTACCAGGTGCGATGGCCAAACAAACCAAAAATACTGCAGAAGAACTGATTCATGTGCAGACTTAGAAGCAAAGTCGTATTAGTAGATGACAGGCAGAACTCGGCGTTAGCACAGTATTTGTGAGATGTTTAGCGATGCATCAATAAACTCAGATCCCGTGAGGATACAGACAGCAGTTATAGGTAATAGGAGCCCTTCAAACAGCTCAGTCAATGGAAAAGCATTAGGCAAGAACTAATGTGAACAGGTGCCCTAGAGAGTTTGTGAATAAATATTTAATAAAGACAAAACCTGATTTTGTCCATGGCAACCTCTAGATCCACAGTGTGTAAGAAACACTCTTGGCCATCCCATAACCGAATGATCAGTTCAGTTCACCTAACTCGTTCCTTCAGCTTTCTGACATGGACCTTGTGTGTTTTAGTTTAACATTCAATCATGAACACAGGAGGATCTTTCGCTCCTCGGCCACTAGTGGCGCTGTTGCGAGCACAACATGTCCATTACGTTCAGGAAACCCCACTTAGACTGCTCAGTCAATACTGTGCACTTTACTGCCAATCCACCAAGCTCAATCTAGCAATTCATCATATTGACAGCATAACTGGGTGGTTTCAGTTACATAACACTATATACATGGGGGTCGAAATGTATTGGACTACATTGAAAAACAAAGCGGCATTCTGCATTTCTAGGACTAAAATCTCAAAATAAATGAAAAATGACCACGTTATCCCTTCGTAGAAAACGTCAGATTTATTTTCTTCCATTAGAATATCAAGTGTTTGAGTTCACGTCTGCTCTTATTGCCATTAAAACAAATGAGGGACTTACCAAACGTCATTAATGTTCATTTTTAATTGAAATTATGCCAAAAATACACTTTGCAATGCATAGTGCAAACTAATGCATTTTCAATAGTGGTTTGAGACTGAATTTATCCATATACCATATATTATAAAACACCAAGGCTTTTATCTTTACTAAGCTTTTATCAATTGTCCACTGTACATCAATAAAAGCAATTGTAGTCATATAAAGAAGCTTTAAATGGATTTAACGCTGCCCTTTGCCCAGTTTCAAATGCAATGTTTCACAAAGCATGCATTCTTTGTCACATTGTATCTTTTAAAATCATTAATATTCACAGGTTTCTTTTGTAATTAATAGAATCGTGATGAATAGTGCAACATCTAGCCGTTTTTCATTATTGATCAAATAAAGTATTGAATAAATTTGACTTAAGGTCATATCAACACCATTCCCCACAGAGCCTAATCTCAGATTGTAATAAAACCAGTGACTGCGATGGCCTCAAGTTACTAGAAAACAACTCATGCGTCTCCACTCTTATGCTCAATGAACTGTTCAATTCTTCTATTTATACTCAGGTTAAATAGGCTTACATGCTATAAAGCATAAACTGGTTTAAAAAATGAACTTTGTAATGATTAGCATCACCAAACGTGAGTGTGAAACTAAGTAACTGTTTTCAGACAGGTTTCCCGAACACTTCTCCACCTTCTATTGGTCAAACAGAACGTCCCTTCTCAAATTTACACCATTGGCTGAGCTGTGCTGGATTGGTCCAGATACTCAAACAAACAGATTAACGCACCACCACAGAGCTCTCACTTTTCTTAAAGGAAATAAACCTATAAATGGCTTGAGTTGTTTCTGCATTTCATTTCAGCAATAAATTAAGCTACACCCTTCAGCTTAAAACAATGGGAAAGCAGCCAATGCCAAGATGTAGGTAAGAAAAACAACCCATTAGAAGTTAAATATCAAAGCAGAGCAGCAGATTCAGGATTTAAAAAGCCTGTTCTTGAAAAAAAATAAAAAAAAAGCGGGAATGTCAAGGGTGAGGTCTATGTAAAGCATGCCCAAGCTTGTTGGTCAATCTCTCTGAATTAAAATTACACACCTACCACCAAAAATCTGGACAGCTATAAAAAAATACTGATACAAGCGATCCATGCATAGAGTGCATTAAGATAAAACCATGAAAAATATATATATACATATAAAAAAAAAAACTTGAGGTACACTTTTGGCGTCCATACTTTAAGAGAAGTATAATATTTTTAACTGATTATTTAAAAGAAGGATGCTAAAAGTTTAATTGTGGACCCATTCTTAATGGCCAGGGGAGGGAAAAAATAATCAAAATAAGAAGATGGGAAAAGTGAAGGGATTAAAAAAAAAGGTTGATGGTGAATAGAAGATTTGCATGCTGAAGAATACATACCCTGTTTGGCTACAATCTCGATAGGGCAGGACAGAAAAAACACTATAGAAGGATCTTCTGCCACTGATAAGGACTATCCTATAAAGACAAAATGATACTAATTTAAGTGAACTCTGTCAATATAGAGGTCAGGACCACAGGCAAAGATGGAGAGATACACAGCAAATAAATTATATTTAATAGTATTTCATATATTACGCAGGAATGTATATGAAAGAATTACGCAAAAAAAGATAAGAAAAAGAAAACAAAAAGAAAGGCAAACACTCTTTGAAGTAAACTAAAACCTCACTGAGAAACCACTGAGAAAGTGAATAGATTTACAAACAAACAAAAGATTTAAGAATGGAATATTCTGCCAAGGCTTTCAAGTTCTTATATTTCCTTCAGAAGTTCGTGAACTGCTAATAACTGATCTGAAGCACAAAATAAACTAAATAATGGATCAAAGCACAGCTGGAAAAACAAAAATATCTCTCACAAATCAAACACTGCAGTTAGCTTTACAAAACAAAAGTCAAAGACTAAAAGTGTGTGTATTTAAAAACTACGCTGGTCACAACCTCTTGTTTTACAACACACCCATTCACATTCAAATTCAGTTAAAAGATCATCTGGCAAACACTAAACACAAATAATAATAATAATAAAATACCAACTAATAACATGCCTAAAATGTTTGGGTTTCAGAGAATGTCTGAATCTTAAAGGGATAGTCCACTTTTTTTTTTTAGGAAATAGGCTCATTTTACAACTCCCCCAGAGTTAAACTTGAGTTTTACAGTATTGAATCCATTCAGCAGACCTCTAATTCTGGCGGTACCACATTTAGCATAGCTTAGCATACATCATTGAAGTGGACAAGACCATTAGCATTTCTCAAAAAAAAAAGAGTTTCGATATTTTTCCTATTTAAAACTTGACTCTTTTGTTCTGTAGTTACATCGTGCACTAAGACTGACGGAAAATGAAAAAAAAAAGTTGCGATTTTGTAGGCTGATATGGCTAGGACCTATACCCTCATTCCTGCGTAATAATCAAGAAACTTTACTGCCATACCATAAGTGCAGCAGGCGTAATGATATGATGATATGCATCATATCATTATGTCTGCTGCACTCATGGCAGTATGGCAGTAAAGTTTCTTGATTATTACCAAAGTCCTTTTAGGTAAGTCGTGCCACTCGGCCGCCATCTTGGCAACGCCTCCGGGCAGCTATTTCGGACTAACAAGACCAGGCTCCTATCTAAATGAATGGGCAGAGAGTCAGAACTGCAATTTCACTGGTCACCGGGACATAAAAACTTAATGTACAGAAACAGCAGTAAAATATGATAAAAATCGTTGAAAAAGTTTGATGACTTTGCCCCAAAATAAGGTTTAAAACGCCGTTTTCCCACAGGTTATACTTTTACTACGCATGCGCAAGGGTTCTCTAGCTCTCTCTCGCTCTCTCTCGCGCGCGCTGCACAGTTTGAAATGCGCGCTCTTGCTCGCTCGCTCTAGATTCCGGGAGATTTGAACTAATTTGCGGGCATCAGCGAGCCGCTATCAATCTGTGGGAGACACCCGGAACTTCTGGGAGACTTGGGATGTCTGATATTTACACAACGCACACATACACTGTACATCATATCTGCCGCCTTTTCGAACAGTAACGTATTTTCCGCTGTCGCAAACCTCAACTGTACGCATGCGTTGGTGGAACCAGACAATAGGCTTAAATGTTTCCTGGCTTGACTGTTATAAGCATACGATTGGCTGTCCAGCCGGAGGGGCGGGTTCCATACAACCGCCATCTTTGGTGTTACGGGTGTTATATAATTAGTCTCTGTTATTACGCAGGAATGAGAGTATAGTTCCTAGCCATATCAGCCTAGAAAATCACAACTTTACATTTTCCGTCTGTCTTAGTGCACGATGTAACGACAGAAGAAAAGAGTCAAGTTTTAAATAAGAAAAATATCGAAACTCTTTGGTAATTTTTTTTTTTTTTTTTTTTTTTGAGAAATGCTAATGGTCTTGTGCACTTCAATGATGTATGCTAAGCTATAATGCTAAAAGTGGTACCGCCAGAACCAGAGATCGGTGGAACGGATTCAAAAACGGTAAAACTCAACAGTTTAACTCTGGGGGAGTTGTGAAATGAGCCTATTTCCAAAAAAAAATTGCTGTATCCCTTTAAAAGAACAGAGGGTCAGTTAGGGATAAAAAAAAAAAATCTCTCTCTCTCTCTCACCCACACACACACCCACACACACGGTGAACGTGATTTCACCAAGTACAACATGTTCCTGGATCAACATCTTTGTTGATCCTGGAAGGACATTTCAGATTTGAGGATTTATGTCAAGTTTAGGCACAACCAGGGTCAGGTGCTTCTACATGTGATATTCATCCAATCATTTCTCTCTGATTTTAGAGATAACTTATTGGTAGTTATATAAGGTTATAGGGTTAGGACTATCTTACAGACAGAAATGAGCCAGGAACATGTATAACTTGAAGAAATCACAGTGACCCAAATGACACGACTTTATTAAATTGGAAGAAATATGATGTTTGCACACTTAATGCCAATGATTATGCTGGGAAAATTCCATCAAAAAAGGGAAATAAAATTTTGTAATAAAATCTGTGAAATCTATGGATAAATTCAGGGGGAGTCTTTCTCTCAAACACTTGGTGTGTGTGGGAGCTACTCTTGGCGAGATGTCTGTGTGTGGGTTGTTTGGTAAGAATACCTTCCATTGCGCATATCATGTTGTCTTATGTTTTTGATGAAGTGGACCTTCTTGAAACTCTTTGGTCGGGGTGAACCAGATAACGTTCGGCATCTAGATGAAACAAAGCAACATCAACACAGTTCACGAAAAAACACACTGATCCCTACTGAAATTTCGGCTGCCTGGCTTTTTTATTTTGTCACAATATTTATCCATATTATCGCCCAGCTCTTTATACAAAGTTGTATATAAATATGTCCAACTCGATCTGCGTATGTACAGTATACTCATGCAGGGCAATACATAATACATGGTGATTACTAGTATCATTATACAATAGAGCCAGACCGATAAAGGATTTTGAAGGCCGATACCTATACAAATAGTTGTTGGTTTTAAAATCCGATATTCCGATATATCAGCCAATATTATTATCATTATTTCAGAAACGCACAACAAAATATGAACAGATTTCCCTAACATTAGTTATTTATTTATGAGTTTTAATTAAAATATGATAATGCATTTTAAAAAGAAACTTGTTTCTATTGTCACAACAGAACGGAGGAACGTCCAAATATATTAAAGTTCTGATATATAAAATAATAATTAGTCCCTACATTGCCTTATAGTTATAAGCTACCATGTCAGCTTGCTTATCCCTTTACCTGCACTTTTTGACAACACTCATGAAATGGTTGAAGCGTGATTCGTCCGTTTTTATTTTATTTTTTAAATATTCATTTATCTGCCGATACCGATATTTTAGAAAATGCCTAATATCGGCCGATAATATCTGCCTGCCGATATATCGGTCTGGCTCTATTATACAATATTATCACCAATCTCTAATCTGCAAAACGTGACTAAGGCATGAAGATATAAATATATTCTACATAAACATCATTTTCTGTAAAGCTGCTATTAAAACAATGTGTGAAAAGCACTTTATAAATAAATTACACTTTACCTTGTGTTTTTCTTACACTAACTGTTGTTGTACATCGTTATTTTTTTCCTCTTCATTTATTTATTGTTATATAAGCTTTATCCAAGTGTAACTCCCTTCAGTATATGTCTGAAGAAACCAGTCTCGTTAAAGATTAAATAAAACAAGTGTTAAATATAAACTATGTGCAATGTTTCAAAATCACATTGGACAGCACTAAAATCACTTTTAGAGATGCATCTAATGTTAACTGAAGGAATAATTAGATGGGTAACCCTAGCAATAATTAACCACAATTTGGCCGAATCAAACGATTACCATGTAATGTCTCTAGCTGTTGAGAAGTTTCTGCACAAAGGCAATACCTGCGTAGAGGGGCGTTCTCCTCAATATCCTCAAGAGTCTCCAGTGAAGAGCGCTGGGATATTAGTCTCCGCCTGCAAATTAACAACAACGGTGAGATTTTGTTCATCCAAATCACAGCCACAAACGTAAACTCACAGTAATAACTTAACATTTTCATATAATTCCTTGAATGATAAAGGTAAACACATTTCGCTTCTTTTGATGGAATGGGAATTGGAAATGTTGCAGGCAAGACTCGAACCAGTGATTACCAAACAGTGTTTTAATGTCGGACTTATGCCCAGGACACATTGTGCGATTTTTTATTTCTGTGGTCGTATTGACTAGCCAATAAAAATGCAGCATGAAATGATGTATTGATCAACCGCTCTAAAACTTAAACCTACTTACCTTACCTCAAGCTCCATATGCAAAATTGGCATGACAAGTTGGCCTCTTTTCCCTATTCTCCTCTTTTTTTTTTTTTTATCTGCGCAGATTTAAAGTACGATATATCTTGCTCTATATGTTTACCAATGACGTTTTATTCTTCCATACTAACTAGTGTTTTAGCCTACGATTCAATAGGTGTCATCATCGTATGGTCTACATATCTCTCATATCCAAGTTTACTAGATCCATGTTGTACAGTGTGATTTGTAATGATCTTATAGGATTTTGGAAATCAGTATCAGGCATTACATGTGCAACTTTATAAACCGACCCACTCAACAATTAATCAATTCATTACAGTTGTTGCCACACAATAGGCTCATGGACAAAAATAGCACAGCTTTTCTCACACCACCAATTGAGTCAAACATATAACCAACTTACGAATTAGCACACTGCCAGACAAAGATTAGTTTAGAACAACATTAGAGCATTACTTCACAACCAGGTTAAAGTTTCCCCATCAATACCAAACCTTTTGTGTTTGACTTTTTTTTCCTGATGTAATATGAGATCACACACAGAATGTTCCAGAAACAAGCCCCTGTAAGAGGATAAGTCACAGCTCCAGCACAGATTTCGGTTACATTTTTCACATAACACATTCCTCTTCCAGGCTGAGGTAATAAGGAACACATATTAGTATGCTGATAAGGTACAACACACCAGGGAGACTGAGAAACTGCCTAATGAGCAACACTTGTTTCTATTTCAAGAAGACATTATCATAAGTTGTTTTTTTACACACTCTGAGCTTGAGTTCTTGATTTTGGCTTTTCAGGGGCAGATATCAGTTCCTTGTGGACCTGTATCTGTAGAAACGTGGGATGATGAATGCTTGTGTTCCTGCCAAAAGAGATCTGAATTCAGACCAATAACAGACACCTGATAAGAGTGTGACTACTGTGAAAGTGCACTGCATGTAGAGTTGATTCAACTCGTCTTTCTATTATTTAAATTGAACGCATCCTTGCTAAATAAAAGTAATTTATTCTTGTATAAAATCATGCTGACTCTAAAGTCAAAGAAAAAATGCGAAGGTTTGTGAAAACATTGTGCAACTAAGAGTTGAGAACATAATTTTTGCACTCGGTTGACCTGACAATCTCAGAGAAATCCAATTCAATGTATAACCGATTTGAAACTCACTCTTTCCACACCCTCAAAATTCTTCTTATACTTTTCTATTCATCAAACACTCCATCAGATCTTCCTCTAGTAGTCAGTAAGAGGCCTGAGACTTCCATGCACTTGTTCTGCTCGTAAGTGGGAAGTTAATAGTTCCCAGTTGGAACTTTTAACTGGAAAGCCCCTTAAGTTGGAGTTGCAACGACCCCGACTTCAGAACCCATTGTGGCTACACAGTTCATTAAAGGAGTAGTTCACTTTTAAAAAAACTTTTGCTGATAATTTACTCACCCCCATGTCTGTCCATGTTTTTCTTTCTTCAGTCGAAAAGAAATTAAGGTTTTTGAAAACATTCCAGGATTTTTCCCCATATAATGCACTTCAGTGGGAACCAAACGGTTCAAGGTCCAAAAGACACTTTCAGTGCAAACTGCAAACTGTTCAAAGGGCTTTAAACGATTCCAGACGATGAATAAGGGTCTTATCAAGCGAAACGACCGCTCATTCAAAATAAATAACAAAGTTTAAGTTTTATAAGCTCAAATGGTCGCCTTGCTCTGTTCTGTGTGACTCTCCTATTCGAACTCTTCATCAAAATGAACTAATCTTTTCCAGAGTCAACTCGTACATTTTGTTCGTTGAATGAACCAAATGACACGAAAAAAGATTTGTTCATTTTGATGAACGAGTTCGAATAGGAGAGTCACACAGAACAGAGCAAGGCGACCATTTGAGCTTATAAAACTTTGTTATTTTTAATATTGAAAAGCATTGGGCCAAGGACAGACCCCTGAGGAACACCATGACATACCTGTCCAATGTTAGATATATTATTTTCTAAAGTGACAAGGTAGCGAGCTAAGATTTAAACCACTTCAACACAGTGTACCGGAAATATCAATCCGAGTCTCGAGTCTCTCAATCAATATAGAGTGACACACCCCAACCCGATCTCACGACCAAGTCGTACGAATTCAACGAATGATTAAAAAGTGGCTAATTCGTAACAATTCATACAACCTCACTCGTACGAATTAATACGATTTTGCTAAATCGTACATATTTTACGAATTGGCCAATTCGTATGAATTCGTACGAATGACCTACCCCTTACCCCGCCCCTAAACCTAACCATCACGTGGGTTTAGACAAATCGTACGAATTAGTACAAGTGAGGTCGTACGAATTAGTACGAATTAGAAACTTTTTAATCATGCGTCGAATTCGTACGAATTGGTCATGAGATAGTGTTGCACACCCTGTCAAAAGTACAAGTTACTATCCAACCTCTATTTGTGGACATGATATTTCAGAATTATTATTAGCTTTTTTATGTGTTTGTATTCTGAAAAACCAAGCACAACAAAGGTTTGCCTGAACGAATCTTAGTTTCCGACCTGTTTACAGGAATACGGTCAACTCGTATCATTCCCAGCACAGACATCCCTCTTCCGTGGTAAATGGAAAGCAGCATTAGTGTCACCCAGGGCAATGACGGTTACATGAACACTTATAGCAATTGGAAAAAACCGTCAGAATTGGCGTTCATCAGGGAATAAGGCAAAAGCTGCATTAACATATCTGTAAGGTGACCCTTGACTCTCACAAGATGTTTATGTGTTCGTAGAAAGCAACTGAACTTCACCAGCAGTATTTGCCTTGTACAATAACACCAGAGAACACCAAATCCTGCACAGGCTACCACAACAACACATCGAACTTACTCCACATGGTGATCTAAATAAACTTCCCTTCCCTGGTATTTCGACCACTGTCAGTTTGGTCACATTTCCGAGGAAACACAACATACTCTAGACCTAAAAAGCAATGCAAGGTATGTTGTTGTGTTCCAAAAAGTGTTCAAAACAACAGCACTTCACGCTGCTTTCTCAGCATTGCTGCCAGGGTGCGCTACTAAAGTGTCTAGAGTATGTGAGTCCCATTACACTGTTCCCTATTCTGCACTGTTAGTATATGTAGAGTGAATAGTGTGTTCTGAAAACAGTGAGGCGTAGTGGAATGTCGAATGTTTTTAGATAAATTACACATCAGGTCCTTCAAAAAGAAATAGCAAATGCTTCAGTGTAGCAAAAAAAAACATTCGCACAGACTACCTTTGAAATTACTTTAAGAACATCTCAATTTGCCAAACAGCATTGGAATGGTAAGAAAACAATGCTCAGACCAAACTAAACTACTTCAGTCAAAACATCAATACACAACACGTCTAATGTTTATGAAAGGCTCGTCAATCTACAAGGCTGTAACAAAGACCTTTACTTTTACTTTAGTTTGTACCAGGGAATTACAAGCGATGTTCAAATCATGTCGGATCTCTATCCAAACACCCACACGATTTCATCCCTAAAATATAGCTGCAAGCAGCCATTACCGGGGCCAAGCGCAAGAAGCGGCAACATATGCCAAAATGGCAAGGAGTGGCAGACCAACTGCAGCAAGGAGCAATTAAGGGCATTTTGAGAGAATTTTGGGCAAATGGCTAAGAAAATCACATAAACATTAACTTATAAGATGATTTAATGGGTTATCACTTTCGAACAATAGGTGGCGCAGTTACAAAATAGATGTGATGTGGTCAGAGTGAGGTGACAATGACACATGCAAAGTTTGGTGTCAAAATGTGAAGGCATTGCAGAGATAAAGCCTAAATAGTAATTTTGGCAGCATGCCTAAAGTTTGATGCTGTGGTATACGAAAACGGTTTTGTCTATCATCGTGCAATTCATAACTTTTAGTCGGCACGGTCTGGAGATGATACGATTCAATTTTCGTGAAAATCGGACAAACGGTCTAGGAGGAGTTCGAAAAAGAAGGTTTTTCAAAGAAATAAAGATAGCGGACAGGAAGTTTTGCTGATTATGGAAAACCTGATATCTATGTTTTCAGCATAACCCAAGGAATCTATTAAGATCAGTTTCATTGCAATAGGCAAATTTATTCAAAAGTTATTAGCGTTCTCAGAAATGAATTATAACTTTTGACCAACAGGTGGCGCTGTCTCAAAATCTTTTGAGTACCTTCAGGGCATGCTGCTTATGGCACACACTGAGTTTCGTAATGTTAGACCAATGCATTTGTTTAGTATAGAATTTTAATTCACAAAACTGTATTGAAGTCAATGGGAATTTCACGTTTTTTTCTATTATAGCGCAACCAAGAGGCTCAGTCCCACAATTTTTTTTTATGTGTCCTCAGAGTGACCCCATACATATGTGTGTCAATTTTGGTGCAAATATCTCAATTTACTTCCGAGTTATAAACATTTATATGTAAAAACACGTAAAAAATGACTGACACATGACTTTGTTTGAATTTTACTACCCCTTACTATCAATATTTTCGCATTTGGGCATTAGCGTATAGTTAACAAGCTATGATTCCGTGTTTCTGGCGGTGGTTTCGTCTCGATCGGAACAGCGGTTTTGAAGATATCGCCAAGTGTTTTTTTCGCGCTAAATCGCTACGCTACACCAACCGTAACACGAAACCC